GTTAGGGTCTTCACTTATTTTAATATTTAATATCTCAAGTACCAGTATGAATAATGGCAATAATGGGCAGCCCTGCCTAGTACCATTTTCTATTTTTATATGTCTAGTATTTTCTTAGTTAACTATAACTCCCAGTTTCATTTTCTCTATAACTTCTTCCATAAATGTCCAGCTCACCAAGTACAGTTGCCCCTTCATTTTTGCAGACTTCAAGTCTGCACCCCTTGCCCATTCATGAACTGTGAACAGAGGGGGACAAAATGAGGCGTGTACCCACAGCACACCCCATGCACTCCAAAGGTGTGCACCTCCACTCAAGCCAATATCCACGATTTTCCATGGGGGGGGGAGTTCCAGAACAGATCCCCCACAAGAATGGAGGGACTGCATTCAACAATATTTAGTACTGTTCTCAAGTTATTTTTATGTGTCTTTTTGGCAGGAACCCATTCTGATCCGCATGAATCACTTCATTCAAGATCTTCTTTAGCCTTTCTGCAATGATCAAGGTAAATATCTTGTAATCTAAATTGGTCAACCATATATTTGTCATCTTTTGGAATCAGAGTGATGTACATATCTTTCCAGGACTCTGGTATACCATATTTTGTATATCATTTAGTATGTTTTTTTAGTGGTGTTATTAAGATTTCCTCCATCTTCTTATAGAAAATACTGGAGAAGCCATCTGGCCCTGGAGCCTTTCCTGTCTTCATTTTCTTAATTGTATTAGATATTTCTGTTGCTGTTATGACTCTATTTAATTCTTTTTTCTGGTCTTCTGTTAACTTGGGTATATTCTATCTTTCTAAGTATTTTTGTATTTTCTCTTTTCTCTTTTACATTTTTATACAATGTTTCATAATATCTTTCAAAAGGTTTCTTGATGCTTTCCTGGTTGATTAAAGTCTTCCTCCTGATCTTATCTCTGTTATTATTTTCTTGGGTTTTTTTTCTTTCCTTATCAAATTGACCATAATATTACTTGGTTTATTTCCCATTTCAATGTACTTCTGTTTGATATATTGTAGCTTCTTTTCCATTTATTTTATTGTTAATGCTCTCAATTGGTGTTCCAATATTTGTAGATTTAAGTTTGTTATCTCCTCTTCTCTGTTAGTTCAATGCTAGCCAGGGCTCAGCCTTGACTCAGGCTTGCATCCTTCCGAGGTCACTAAAATGAGTACCTAACTGTTAGGGGGCAATGACTTTACAGTTGTAAACCGCTTAGACCAGGGGTAGGCAACCTTGCCCCTTTAAGGGCCAAGGGACTTCAGCTCCCAGAAGCCTCAGCCATGTTGGCCAATAGTCCCATGTTGGCCAATAGCGCCTGAGATTCTGGGAGCTGAAGTCCCTCGGCCCTTAAAGGGGAAAGGTTGCCTACCCCTGGTTTAGACACTGCATAGCACAGTATGAAGTGGTATATAAATGCAGCTGCTTTGCTTTTGCTTTGCTTCCATTCTTGTTCTTTTAGATATAAACTGGTTTATTTCCGTAGGATGTTCTGGACCCTAGAGAACCAAAGACTGAGAACCATTAATCTAAAATAAACCTGAAATGAACATCTATGCAGATGTATCCCTCATCTTCAGCCTCATCATTCACATCATTTGAGTCTAGTCTTCTGGAAAGTCTGGAAAATTTTCTCATCAAAACTGTATATAGCTCAATAGACTCTAAAAAGACCCATAAGATAAAGGAAACCTTCCATAAGACCCTTTTTATCTGTCTGCAATATTGAGTACTGAAGAAGAGAGGAACACATAGGTTATATGGATAATTTTTCATGATTTGTCAATAAATTAGGGTGCCTAATGAGTGTAATTAGTAAATTGCTGATGACTGCCTGCATGGGATGCTAGACTTCAAGCACAACACAATAATTAGTTTGTTAATTGGCTTCTTCCAGGGATGAAACTAAGCTGCGGATATCAGGAACAACCCCATTGGCACTTAATTAGAACCTTTTAAATACTGGTTACAAGGGGGGGGGGGATCATCTGTCTAGGCCAGAAACACATTCCTGTGTTCTTCTTATAAAGGAGAATTTAGAAGAGTTTAACTTTTTGAAATTTGCAGCAGTAACACAATATCCTCAAGCAACACCCTGAAAGCAATCAAAAGAAATTGTTTGAGAACACCCTTTTGTTCATAATTTTTAAAAGCTGTGTTTGTGGTGAGTTCACTCAGTGCAGTAATTGCAGAAAAGCAATAGACATATCAACTTGATTTGCCTATTGAACAGGAGAAACTAGCTCCCCCAGTAAGTTAGTAGTTCACAGTGTAAATGGGTTAGTGTAGGTAGATGTAGGTAGATGGGTTAGTACTTTGCAGCAGAATGATAACTTGATAGGAAAAGAAAGTTTAATCTACAAAACTATTCTATCTAGTTACTCAAAGGATTTTTTTTTAAAAAAAAAAACTTACTATACCAGACTAGGAAAATGACTATTAACTTCCACAAAAGATAAACTTCTGTAGTTATTTACAGGTCAGAGAGATGAAATCAATTTGTCAGTCACTGGCAACAAAATTATCAAGCCATTGAAATCTATCTATCCAGCATGCAGACAGTGTTAACATTAACAAACATTTTCATCTCTTCAAAGGCAACATGAAGATTTTCTCTCTTGATGAAAGTTTAGAAATCCAAAAGCTATGCCAGTTACTGCCTTTATGAGATGATTTACTGCAGTAAGTCACAGAAAAATACAAACAAAAATCAGGTTAGGCTTCCGCCACAATTGTTTTTCCTACTTATCAATGAATATTTAATATCAAAACAGTAAAGGTCATTATAGCAAAACATAAGACAAGTCCTTGAAGGACTGAGCCAAAGGTTCATCTAGGCTAGGTGGGCAAATGTGTCCTTCCAGATGTTTGTGGCCTAAAGCTCCCATCAGTTCTGTCCACCATAATCAATAGTGTAGGGTTATGCAGTTGCCCACCAGTGAGCTATGCTGATATTTGGCTTCTGAATTTTCAGATACCATATAGTTAGCACAAGTAATAGTCATACATTTCTCTTATCTCTTTTAACAGAGTTGTTGTTGTTGTTGTTGTTGTTGTTGTTGTATGCATGCCTTATGGCAACCCTAAGGTGAACCTATCATGGGGTTTTCTTGGCAAGATTTGTTCAGAGGAGATTGCCTTCCCCAACACTGAGAGCATGTGTCTTACCCAAGGTCATCCAGTAGGTTTTATGTTCAAGCAGGGAATTGAATCCTGGTCTCCAAAGTTGTAGTCCAACACTCAAACCACTATGCCACACTGGCTCTAGTGGTTATTGCCATATCTTGTTATTTATTTGATGTGTGCCCAGCTTCTCTCTTAAAACTCTCATCCAAATTCTACAAATTGGTACAGATATAGGAAGTACTTTCTGTCTCTGCTGAATGTACTGTAAATCTGTTCTATTGGATGATTTCTAAGCTCCAGTCTTAGAGGTAGAAAAAAATCTTCCCACTTTCTTCAAACTTTTCTCCCTCTTAGAATCATAGAAACATAGAGCTGGAAGAGACCCCAGGGGCCATCCAGTCCAACCCACTGCCATGCAGGAACTCACAATCAAAGCATTGGCTGTCGTACCACCGATATCAATAGCTCTATCTCCAATCTTGCTCTTCTCCATTTTCCTCCATCTTCTTGAGCTTCTGAGAAGGAAACTCCAAGAGTCCATTCTTGGTAAATCTGTACATGATGGGCAGATTTTGGGGAAATTGCTTTCTCTCCCTTTTTGGTTTAACTGTAACTCCCATCATTCCCCCAGCTAATCCTTGGTCCACCCCTTACCTCCACGGCAACAGCTGATTTACAGCAGGAATTGACAGAGTATATTCTTGGTGCTGTATGTTGCCCGCAAGATTGGTTTTATGGCACTCAGTTCCTCCAGATTCTCCAATATCACACTTTTACTGGTTAGATTGCCTCTCTTGGAAGCTTCACACTTTGGATGGTTTGGACTAAAACTCCCAAAAGCACCAGCCATGAAGCATCAGTTTGGGTCATGGCCATGAATTCTGGCAGCTGAAATTCAAAGCCCTTGGAAAACCAATAACAACAACAACAGAAAAATATTGAAATCCTCTGGTCTAGTTCGCTCCCAAACTGCAATTCTCAAGGTAGCTTCATTTAATTCTCAATCCCCTTTCTCATGGATTTGGGAACTTAGTCAGTATGGCATAGTGGTTTGGGTGTTGGACTATGACTCTAGAGACCAGGGTTTGAATCTCTGCTTGGCCATGGAAACCCACTGAATAAATCACACTTTCTCAGCCTCACAGGATGGCCATGATTAACCCCCTCTGATGAAACTTGCCAAAAAATCCCCATGATAGGTTCAGTTTAGGGTCGCCATAAGTTGGAAATGACTTGAAAGCACACAACAACAATAGCCCTGGTTAGTCCTTGGATGGTATCTGCTGACAGATGCCAGGTGCTATAGGCTCTATCCAGCTGCTTTGTGTCCCAGTCTTGGGAGAAAAGCGAGATCAAGATAGAAATTATTATTATTATTATTATTATTATTATTATTATTATTATTATTATTATTCAGAGGAAAGAATTGGTAAACCCTTGCCTAAGAAATCCTTATGAAATTAACTGAGTCGCCCTAAATCCACAGGCAATTTGAAGGTATGCACACACACAAGGCACAAGATCCCATCTGATCTTGAAAGCTAAGAAGAGTCGGCCCTGGTTAATTCTTGGATGGGAGACTAACAAGGAAGATCAGATGCTTGGGGTGTATTTCAAAGGAAGGAACTTGAAAAAACCACCTCTGAAAATTCCTTGCCTAAGAAACCTCTGTGAAATGCAAGGGGCTGCCATAATGTGCACACACACATTAAAGAAAGTATAGTAGTGATCTCTAGGGCTGCATCTGCATTGCATAAATAATCAATTTTGACACCACTTTAACTGCTCTGCTCTATTTTTTAAATGGCCTTTTATCAGTTTGTGTTAAATTGTTTTTAATGTTATTAATAATTTAATTCAAGGGCCAGCATAGGGTAGTGGTTTGAGTGCTGGACTAGGACTCTGGGAGACTAGGATTCAAATCCCTGTTTGGCCATGAAAACCCATTGGGTGACTTTGGGATAGTCACAGTTTCTCAGCCTCAGAGGAAGACAATGGCAAAGCCCCCCTCGAACAAAGGCAAAGGCAAACTCCTCCTGAACAAACCTTGCCAATAAAATCTCATGTTTTAGGGTTGCCGTAAGTCAGAAATGACTTGAAGGCACTCAACAACCAACAATAATTCAGGATTTTGTATTATTTATTTATTTATTTTGGCTGCTTTGAGTCCTTATTTTGGCATAAAGGCAGAGTATAATTACAATAATAATAATAATAATAATAATAATAATGTTGACATCATTCACCAGCTAACAAGACATAGCAAGGAAACTATCAATTGTCCCTTCACTCTTCCTTGGACACTACATCACCATGTTGGGGGAGGTAAGGAAACAGTAAGTCTTGCAGTGGGGAAGACATTCTGCTTACACAGAGAGAAAATGAATAACCATTATTCTTTCTCCCCTGTAGTAATGAATATTAAGAAGAATCACATTCCTACTCAGTGTACAGTAATTCCTTTATGCAATGTTTCCATCAACCATCTAATTGCTGCATTTTGCACTAGCTGCAGGTTCCGAGTCATCTTTGAAGACATACCCATACAGAGTAGATTACAGTAGTTTAGTCTGAATGTTAGCAGAACCTAATTACTGTGACTTGCTTGTCCATTTCCATGAAAACAATTAATGCAATACCTAAAGAAGTAATAGGAAGGAAACAAGGTAATTTCCAGATCAGCAGGATGAGTACAGAGGATGAAGTGTCCTTTACTTAGAGATTTATCTTTCCACAGATCATAAGCTAAAACAATTACAGAGCTTCATTTGATTCCCCCCCCACCCCAGATTTTCTCTTGTTCCTGCCCCATCATTCACTTAACCATTTTCATCTGAAAGGCAATGTGGTAACCGTCTAGAGTCTAGACCTTCTACACTATCACATTTCCTGAAACTAGTTTTGGTATGCAAGCTTTTTAATTCTTCCTCAAGACCACAGAGCAATTCCTATTTAAAGCACTTCAGCAGGCTCAGCTAACATTCCAGCACTTCCAAAATTACATCAGTATCCATTTCACAAATGAAACAACTGGTCAGATTGGACTAGAAATTGAGAAAGTAACTATTAATACAGGTTTCTGTAACAATCTTGCAGAGTTATATATGCTTAAATGTTATTAAATGCCACCACATGGAATTATTCATGAATTGACCTTTAATTCTTTTCTATTTCTTATCCAGTGAACTCCTTAACAAAAGGTAAATAAGAAATGCTGTGCAAAATATATTCACTTTTTGTACATGAGAAACATACCTACACTTAACAGATGCATCATTTTTAGCACGGAGGAAACCATGGTCCCTCTGTAAGGAGATGGTACATTTCTATATGGATATATTTTGTTCCTTTTAACCATCATAAAAGTGGGAATACATATTTTCCACATACTGGTGTTGAAAGGGAAAGTTTCTGCCTGGGATCTCTGCATGCTTTTTGGCTGGAGCACTGTGAATTAACAAATCCTCCATCAATTCTTCCAGCAGATAGGGTGGTGTGGAGGCCCTCTCATGTCTCTGCACCAGCTGTGTCTGTGACAAAGGTGGAACTGACAGAAAAGCCCTCCCTTGATGGTATTAAGACTCAGGGGGGTTGCAGACTGCCAGAAATAGTGCAAATTGAGTCCACTTTTAGGGTTAGGGTTAGTGCTAGGGAACCATGGGAATTGTTTTTTTCTGGGACATTGAGCCTTCTCTGTCAGAGAGCTCTGGTGCCACAATAAACTACAATCCCCATGATTCCCCAACTCTAACCCTAACCCTAAAAGTGGACTCAATTTGCACTATTTCTGGCAGTCTGCACCCCCCCTCAGTCAGGATCATATGGGAAAATATGGTCTTTCAGATAGTATGGAGTCAAACCTACTTATTTTATGTGACTTACATTCCACTCTTCTACTAGAACTGCAACTGAAAACAACCCACAAAACAAAACAGAACCAATCAAGGTCAGGCAAAAAAAATTGTAATGTTAAAATACATTTAACCAATCATAAAATTGCAACAGTATTCATTTAAAAAGCAACTGAAAAGACATAACTAAGAATTACAGCTACAGTTACTGTGGTGTAGTGGTTTGAGCATTGGACTATGAATATGGAAACAAGGGTTTGAATCCCCTCTGGCCATCGATACCCACTTAGTGATCTTGAGCAAATCACATGCTCTCAGCCTCAGGGAAAGGGAAACTTCCCCCTGAACAAATCTTGTCAAGAAAATCCCATGATACATTCACCTTGAGGTCATCATAAATTGGAAATGATTTGAAGGCACACAACAACAAAGTGGAGCACAAATTTCTTAAAAGCCGTTTTCACAGCAGCAGCTGGTTTTCTCATGTTTTTCCTAACTGCATCCCAATAAACTCTTTCTTCCCATTTCAAATAGATTTAGAAAAACATGCCACATTGCCAGAGTGACCCATCTGCCATACTGACAACCACGAGCTAAAATATTTCTTTTACATTTTGGTACACAAAGGTTTGGCATACACAGATTTATTCATTGTTAATACAGTCGTCCCTCCATATTCACGGATTTTTTTATATCCATGGATTCAAGCATCAACAGATTGAAAATATTATAAAAAATATAAATTCCAAAAAGCAAACCTTTATTTTGCAATTTTATTTAAGGGACACCATTTTATTATTCTGCTGTATTTAATGGGACTTAAACATCCATGGATTTTGGTATTCATGGGGGGAGAGGTCCTGGAACTAAAGCCCAATGGATATCAAGGGCCCACTTTAGTATTAGGATGTTTCAATTCCTCAAACACTACACTTTTGCTTCTAGATACCAGCATGTGTGAGAATGTTGGCCTGGGAATTGGGAGATTCAAGTTCACATCCATGATCTGCCATAAAACACACAAGATAACCTTGAGCAAATCATTCTAACAGCTTCACTTAACTCACTGGGGTGTTGTGACCATAAAGTGGGAAGTGGAAAAGTTATACCACTTCAGCTTGAGCTTAATGGATGAAATATGTGATGTAAATGAAATTTTAAAAAATAGTATATTTCATTGATCTCAGGGTCAGTAAACAGAACTGTTAACACTGACGTAGGGCCTTTGCAGACTGCCAGAAATAGTGCAAATTGAGTCCACTTTAAGGGTTAAGGTTAGTGCTAGGGAATCATGGGAATTGTGTTTTTTTTTTTCTGAGACATTGAGCCTTCTCTGTCAGAGAGCTCTGATGCCACAATAAAATACAGTTCCCATGATTCCCTAACCCTAACCCTAACCCTAACCCTTAAAATGGACTCAATTTGCACTATTTCTAGCAGTCTGCAAAGGCCCTTAGTCACAATGATACAGTACGTGCTCTTATAAAACAGCGGTCCTTGAACAAAAGAACTACAAAGGTAGATTGGAAAGAGAAACAGCAGAACTGAAATTCATCCATAAACTTCAGTCCCTCAGCAATGGAATGAACAGGGACAATGGCTTCCTAGCTCACTACACACATTTCAAAAGTATCTGACCCCATCCTCATGGGGGCATCCTACACTCATCTATTCTCCCCACCTACAGGCTGGTTTCCAAGGCCAAACTGGTCTTGCCACATTTCCATACCCAATGGCTATGTCTTTGTCCATGAACAACCATCGTTAAAACTGGACTTGCTATTTCATTTGCATACACAAAGGATTTTGAATTTGAATTAACATTCTCACATACCAAGGGCATATATATGTCTGTCCCTGGCTTCCACTCTACCAAAAGCATCTGAGGAAGTAGAATGAAGTCTACGAAAGCGCATGCTGCCAACTTATTTCTTTCAGTTAGTCTTAAAGGCGCTACAAGGTCTCTTTACATACTGTGCTCTAACAGAGTATTGCTTACAAAATCTGGAAAGTGTGGAATTGCTGGATTTTTGAAAACTACTCTCCCTTCAAACAAAAGTAGGGGCAACAACCTGTTTTTTAGTAACTCAGTTTAAGCTGCCTCAAAGACCATTAGGAACTAGTACTCCCAAATTTCTTGAGAACATGCAAAGTAGCATTGGTTCATACTTTAACTCTATATTGATTAACTCTACCATTACTATTTCCAAATATTAATCTACATATAACACAATCATTCCCAGAAAATGGGAAGTCAATATTTTCCTGTATCATGTTATTACAAAATGAAGATCCAATTGTAATTATTTTATTATAGATTACATTCCTCTTTCAGGTCTTGCTTCACAGAACATTAATTCTTACAAACATACTGCATGAAAGTACATTCTACTCTCATATCAGCAGCACACAAATGACACTACAGCCAGCCCTCGGCATTCTCAGGGATCCGTTCTGGACCCTCTGCGGATGCCAAATTTTGGAAACAGTCAAGTTCCACTGTCCCCAATGGCAGTGTGGCTGCCTCCCTCCCTCCTTCCTTCTCTTCCTTCTCTCCTTCCTTCCTTCCTTCCTTCCTCCCTCCTTCCTTCCCTCCCTCCCTCTTCCCGTCCCCTGTGCTTGGGCATGTGATATGTCAATTGGCTGCGATGGAGGAGGTGCGGCATGCACCTGCCGGGCCACGAGGTTGCTGGGAAAGCAAGTCTCCATGTGGCCAGCATGGATTACAAGCCCAGCAGCCCCGGTGCCAGGGGGAGGGAGGGAGGGAGGTGTCCCATTGTCCCCAATGGCGGCATGGTTGCATGCCATTGGGGACAGCATGCGATTGCCATCTGTGAATCATTGAAACTGTGAATGGCAAGTCCGCAGATACCGAAGGACAACTGTAGTCAATTATTCTGTGTCTAGAACCACATTTTCCAATTTACAGGCTTCAATTACTATGGTGCAAAAAATCTGGTATCATAGTTTGGATGCTATTTTTTATGGCTAAGACATTGATGCTACTTGGTTCATTTAAATTTGATATTCTATGTACCCTGAAGATTCAAGGAAATAATTCCAAACCATACATCCATATAAATAG